CACTGATGCCCATAACCTCTAGTGGTCTCTCCTGTCCTGGATTTTTGTCTGCTCTCCACAATTTCACATCCAATTATACTGTTCTTTAGTTGTACCTCGTATCATTTACACTATGGTTCAATGGTAGATTTTATCTCTGGCAGCACCTACAATCACGCTGAGCACTGAACAGGAGGAGTTCCTGTCTGGAGTCTGGGGAAGCATCCTTTCTCCCTCAATGTTTAAAGTTGACAGAAACTTGAAAACCTCCGTGCAAACACCCTCCTCCCTCAAGCCAGGAAATGCAAATAAGCCTTTGGCAGTTGAGATGTGAGCTGGGAATTTCTCTATGAAACCTTCTCTGAGAACTATTAGCGTGATGGCGGTTATTTGCCTTGGATTGGATTTTCTCAGGAATTCAGCAGCAGGTGACTGAATGTTTGGCAAGAGTCTGGTGTGAAAATCAGCAACTGAAAACAGGCTACATTGTGTGCCTCACCCAGAATCATTTCTAAGAGCTACCACCATGTAAAGTATCTATCAGTTTTGCCATCCAGGGGATAAGATAACTGTTGGGTGGAAAAGTAACCACCTGAATAAAGCAGGCAGCTGGAAAAGGTAAAGAGAACTCGTGAAGCTTCTTGCAAAATGAAACAAGGCACTGTTAAAAATGCAAATTGCTGGGCCCTGCCCCAGACCTACTGGGGGTCCTGGAATCTTCATATTTACAAGCATCCCCTACGGACTCCAGTGCAGATGGTCTTCTGACTACATGCTGAGAAACGCTGGTTTCAGCTTCCAGATTTGTGCCTACTGGGACTTCAGGAGGGTTGTCTCAGGTGAAGAGAATCAAGAAGGTAGTGCAAGAGTAAAGGGCCAGAGATAATAAGGATCCAAATCAGAGGCAACCCCACTACCTACAGTTTAAGGCCCGCCCTGGAGCCAGCCACTTGCTACCCATTGCTCCCATCCCTGCTATCACAATCACACTGTAACAGTCAGGACTTAAGCAGGAGACAGAAACCATATAGTCATTTGAACAAGGGAAAAAAAAATATTGATTAACCATGATAGGGTATTACCTACAAGGGGAAAAAGAAAACTCTGATATTCAGAAAGAGCAGATATAGGGAGAAGCCACTACCTACCTCTACGTCGAGGCAGAACACGAAGGAAGGCACAAATCTGGAAGACTCCCACCCATCAGGAAGCACAGACCTGTGCTGTACTTTTTAAGTCGTCTGCTCCAGCTGAGGGTTTCACAGGGTTTTCAAGCAAAGGATGACCAGTCTCCTCAGACACAGGAGGGCAAGCTGCTTCCACTGCCAAGGGAGGCTCAGGGTGACTTGGATGTTCAAGATGGTCAGTTTCACCTGGGTCCAAGCAGATGTTCCCTATTTCAAGTTTTGGGATCCCATTCCTTCCAAGATGATGTCTTAACTTCACAAGAGATGTTAACAAGCTGTAAATTCAACTAATTCAGCGTACAGAGAGGTGCCAATCACAGCAGGCCACCATGCACTGCAGAGCCAGCTGAGAGAAGCACTCTGGAGTGAGGGGAAAGAGCTCCTTCTAACATTTCTCCCTCTAATGTCCCACCAGCATCCTCTACTGATGAAGCTTAATACCGAGCCAAATGGCAAGAGAGAAATGTTCCAGTATTGCAATCAGAGCTGAGAAGTATGGGGCTGGGGCTGAGAATCAATAGGCTGGTGACTGGTAACGCACCCCACCTTCATTGTCCCTCCCATGGTCTCTGCTACCACCCCATAACAAAAACACAAATACTGCAAGTAAAAATGAGGAAACCCAGGATGCCAACACCCATCAAGAACATCTTTCAAAAACTATATACTCACATGTATCTAGGGTAACCAACCATCTCAGTTTGCCCAGGGCCATTCCAGCTTTAGCACTTAAAGTCCTGCATCCTGGGAAACCCCTCAGTCCCAGAAAAACTGGAACAATTTGTCACCCTACATGCCTCCCAAAGGTTTTCAAACATTGTGTGCATCAGAATCACCTTGGGCACTTGGTAAAAATACAGGTGACTCTGTTAAAACTGTTAAAGGTGATGCAGTTATTTTGGGTGCAAGCAGACCATGGATTGATTTTTAAGAAATGTTCTACTTGGAGAACAATCCAGGACTTCTTTGTTCCCGTTCTAAAACCATAATCATTGAAAAGAAAGAAATGACATCCTTTGGAAGATACATACAAGGTTCCTGAACCAGAAGCAGACACTGACAAATTATTAGTTGATAGTAACAACAACATAGGGTCATTGATAGGGTATACTGAGCTTCTTGCAGGTAAGCACTATATAATACAAGGTTTATTTTAAAGACTTTCACAGAATAACTTGCACAGACATAGTTAATTTAGTGCTACTTTTGCTATTTTCACACTGTAAGGTACATGATTTACCATAGCCACTTTAAAGATGTTTCTCAAGAACTCAGATGGGTTGAAGAGAAGACACTCTTAACACTTAGTTTCTACTGCATTCCAGGCATTGTGCTAAATTCTTTAAATATATTATCTCATTTAATCCTCCCAACAGAAGCTCTGCCCATTTTATAAAGAAGCAGGGTACTCGACCTAAATTATACACCTAGTAAATGATGGTGTATAGACGGAAACCCAGGTCTCTTCCCTTCACGCAAAATTTGTTAGCACTGTAGAGCCATAACGAATAAGGCGTGGTCCCATGCCCTAGTCTAAGTGCTATGATCGAGGTATGCAGTCTGCAGTGGCAACACAATGGAGGTGCAACTTAGGCTCTGAATGGCTTTCGGGATAAAAGTCAAATCCTTTTGCTCAGTACATCAGGACCAGGTTCCCCCAACGCCTTGGCCCTTCTGCCAGGCCCGCTGGGTCTGAGTCGCTCTTTCCGCACAGACCAAACAAGCGGGCTCTTGGACGTCTCTAGTTAGGGGTGTGCGGGGAATGTCCAGAGGGACTTCGGCCTAGTTAATACGTCTTCATTCCCACCTTCGCCATATCCCGGCTCCTCACGGGGCTCCACCGCACGCTCAATCTCTGTGCTCCCCTCGAACCCCGGCCCTACCATCTGCACCTTCAGCGAGTCGGCCCTCCCGGCGCGAGGAACGCTGAGCCGCCCGGATTCCAGGAGGTGGCGCCGGAAGCGGCGGCCGCGCAGCGTCACGTGACGTCAGAGGAAGTGCCTGACGCCGCGGCCTGTGGTTGAGAGTTGCTGGAGTTGGTGCTCGGCGCTCAAGGTTCACCGGACCGCGGGCGGCGGAGCAGGCCGGGGGCAGCGGGATTTACTTTAGGACGAGCGGCTTTGAACCTCTGCGCGCGTCTCCGCCGGCAGGTGCGGCCTCCAGGCCTATCGCTGGGTGCCCGGGGCTGCGAGTGTGGGGACCGCCGTGAGGTCGCTTCCCGAGCGACCTCCGGGACCTCGTCCAGGGCCTCCCAGGAAAGAATGGTCTAAAATAGAGAAAGTTGCTAACCCTTATTGAGAGGACTAGGCTCTCTTACCTTCGAGGATCACTTAACCCGCCCTTGGACCGTGAGAGAGGTTTTGGTTCTTCTGTTTACAGAGGAAGAAACAGGCTCAGAAATGTTAAGTCGTTTGCCTCAGGCCATGCAGCTGGGAAGTGTCAGATCTGGGTTCAAAGCGAGTCCTTTGGCTGGCGCCAGAACCCTTGCTGTTTGCACTGCAGCAGGGTTCTCACACTTAATTCGAGTAAAGAATCTCAGCGTGGGGGTTAGTTAACAGTGTCTGGGACTGCAAATTCAGTAGGTCTGAGATGGGGTTCTGGAATCTGTATTTTCAACAGCCGTACCGTGCATATAATGATAACACATCGCTCCCTGTGAACACAGCAAGAACGATAGCTAATTGTTGTGTTAAGGTTTTAAGGCCTCACTTGAGAGAAAATGTCACATGAGGGCTTACTCTGCAAATCATGTGAGACTGGAGAGTTGGTATTTGGTTCTGCCATTAACTTTTTGGGCAGATGGCAGCCTCTGTCCTCTCCCCACCTATTAAATAAGAAGACTTAACAGACTTATCACTTGGGGGAATTTGTTAAACATACAGATTCCCGGGACCAGCTTTATTCTACTGAATCAGTAGGTCTGGAGGTGGGGCTGGGAATCTGTAGGCTAAATAAGCTATAAAATGTGCCTGTTACCTTTGAGAACTTGAGATAGAAATGGATTATAGGGTTGGAACACTACCCCCCCTTCCCGTTTTTGTTTTTTTGTAGATGTGCATGCTCCTGTATTTGCTGTGGGCTAGACTTATTGGCAAAAATGTCAGATTAGTGTTACTGGCCATTACGAGGTGGATTTTTTACTTAGCTGAAGACTGGAACGTAATAAAATTTGAATGTTAGTCTACCTACTGTTGATTTCCTGAGTGACACTGGGTGAGCCACTTAACCTTGTGGGCCTTACATACCCGTATTATCATCATCTCCTACAATGCTTGTTATAAAGACAAACACCCGTATCCATCCTACATCACATCCTGAGACGGGCCATAGGTGTTTTTAACAAGCTTCCGTGGAAGTTTAATGCAGCCTGTGATAATGGAATATGGCAATGCCCTGGGAAACTGTGTCTTAGCCTATTTCTGAATGTTCATAGGTGGAGTATTACAGTTTCTCTGTGTTCTGCTCTTGGGGGACTAATAAGAGTAATGTGGTTTTTGATAGGTCCTGGTTTTAGAATTTCTTAACATCTACTTTCTTGTGAATGAAGTGAAAGTATTGTGATAAGATTAACAACATTAAAAGCAGCATCCCCAAGTGACTTAGTGGGCTCCTTGACTGAGATGTTGTGATGTCAGAAGTTGACTTCATGTAGAAGCTGTGATTGCTATTGAACCATCTCGTCTGCTTGAAAGGATTATAATTACCCCTTGATAGTCCAAGCTCTCACAACCCCAACTAAAACATCTTTTTTTTTTTTCTTTAAACAGATACTATTGTGTAGTTTGAATCAGGAATGAAATATTCTGAAAGCTGAGAGCAGAAACCTTGATCAACATGGAGGACAAAAGACGGCGAGCCCGAGTGCAGGGAGCCTGGGCTGGCCCTGCTAAGAGCCAGGCCATTGCTCAGCCAGGCAAGAACCTGTGGCGATCTCGTGTGTGTGTGTGTGTGTGTGTGTGTGTGTGTCTGGACAAGTATCATCCTATTTTATATATATCCCTTTGGTTTATAGTGGACTCCCATTTCAATTGATGTTAAGGTTTGAGTCTCTTCTCTCTCTTGCTTCAGCTCCCACTGCTGAGAACCATCTCCAACAGAGACCTGGTCAAACCTGGATGAACAAGGAGCATCGTCTGTCTGACAGACAGTTTGTGTTCAAAGAACCCCAGGAGGTAAATTCTTGTTTCTTCTTCAACAGTAACAAAGATTTATTTATAAAAGCAACAGTCACATAGTAGACACTCAAATAAATAGTGACAGAATAAACTTACTCATAAAAAGAGAGTTGAAAGTAGTATAATAATAATGAAATATGGAGTATCAGTTTCTTAGTATGTCTGAGGATTCTTTGTAGTCTTCCCGCAATTTGTAGGCATATATAGTTCCCATTTTTTTTTTTTTGGCAAGGAGGTGTACCATGACTAGAGGTTAGAGGTTATACCACGACTAGAGCTTGCATTAGTTATCTTAGTTCTAATGGTCCTAAAAATTGCTAGTATAGCACATACCTCTGGAATTGGATTGAAATTTCAGCTACTACAATGCCTGATCCTTTTTAGCTTTTTCTCCCACTTGGAAGAATGTAAGAAAGGGTGAAGAGTCACTTTTTAATAACGTGGGGAAAAAGAGCTAAAAATCAGGCATCTTGCTGTAGTAATAAGTAATATTAAAACCCCTTATTTCCTAGTATATCTTCTGTTTTAAAAGATCCCTTGGAAAGATGATTTTCGCAGAGCTGCTGACTGCTGGGAAAATGTCTATATTCTAATTTTGTCATCTTTCACTGCCCACTAGTAACTGTGAAGTGGTTCTAAGAAGAATAGAAACAAGAGTTTCTGGTGGGATAGTGAGAGCTTAGAATAAAAAAGGGAGAGTTTTGAACCTGATTTATTTTGACTAGAAATGAGAGGATACAGTAATCCTGCAAGTAAGCCTCCCTGAGGATTAGGAATCATTCAGAAATCAGACCTGGCTTTTTCCTTGCAGGTGGTACGCAGAGCCCCAGAGCCACAAGTGATCGAGTAAGTAAATTGCTGCCCTCCTGTAACTATTGCCCACAGTGAAAGGGAGAGTCCAGGATCTTTCCCTCACCCTGGTTTTTCCATCTGGAAAAGATAATGGCCAATGTGTCTAAATTTTAGGCTGGGATATTCCTGTCTCAGATGTCTTTAAACTTGGTCTTCTGAGAAGCCTTTCTGAATTTGCAGATGGTGTGGGAAATGCAGCCAGGTGTCTGTACATTAAACTCTTGGCTCTGGTGTAGATTTCCAGACCCTATTTCACTAATATGTCTGCAGATAGTAGGTAAAACATCTAGGTAAAGACAGAGGGATTTTTTCCCTGAGTCATTGAAACATGGCTCTTTGAAAAACCTGTAAGTATCATTTTACTAGCAATGCTTATGAAAACTGCTAGAAATTTAGATGCTCTTACAGTTCATTTCTTAAAACCACATAACTCTTCCAGAGCAATTAAATGATAGTAAACATTTCTCTTATAGTGATCTGTGTCTAAAGTACTCTTTTCCGAAATGATGAAAGATGCTTTGATTCCTCTTTTCCTGCTTCTCAGTTTCCATCTGATGCAGATAAATTATCAGTAGAAAACATCCTTTTATTTTAGCAAATTAGCATTATGTGTATGCTATTGCTCATGAACAACTGTTAAGCTGTTTGGCTGTTTGCAGATTGACTGGTATATCTTAGAAAAATTTAAAACGAACACAGATGTCATCATACTTTCAAAGAGGGTATGTAGTTGTGGCCTTGCCATTAGTTAGATATGGTAACTTACCTAGTCCTTAAGTAAGTTATTGCTGTCTCTCGACTTTTGTTTCCTTGTCTGTAATATTAAGGGTTTGGACTGTATAATCACTTACGACCCAGTCTGGTAGCTCTAACAGTCTTTGTTTTGCAAGCACAAATGTGATACTGCCTCCATTGGTGGTAAAAAGAAGAAACAAAATCATGAAACCTGTTATAGATAGGACATTCAGGTTGAAAAAATGGACAATTGTGAATTTCCAAGTCAGAGAAAAAAATGATAGTACTCATTCCTCCTTGACCATAGGGTTTGTTAATTCTGTTTATCTGAAGTTAGCTATGCTAGATTTTTTTTTTTGGCCTCATTGGGTCTTCGATGCTGTGCACGGACTTTCTCTAGTTGTGGCGAGAGGGGACTATTTTTCACTGTGGTGCATGGGCTTCTCATTGCGGTGGCTTCTCTTGTTGCGGAGCATGGGCTCTAGGCGTGTGGGCTTCAGTAGTTGTGGCTCGCAGGCCCTAGAGGGCAAGCTCAGTAGTTGTGGTGCACGGGCTTAGTTGCTCTGCGGCATGTGGGATCTTCCTGGACCAGGGATTGATCCCGTGTCCCCTGCATTGGCAGGCGGATTCTTGACCACCGTGCCAGGAAGTGGAAGGGAATCTAGGGAAGTCCCTAGATTTTTTTTTTTTTAATAGCCAGAAATGTCCCTCACATTTGAAGTGAGTATTTCTAAATGTGGGCCAAAATATATCACACTGAAATATTATATTCACACTCTAGGAAACTTTATAGGCAACTCATTTTGAAATGTGCTAAATGTTTATGATAATAACTCTGCCTACATTTTGGCTCAGAGCGGCTCACACATCTACCTAAGAGCCCAGCTCAAAGATCATGAACTGCTAACTCACGTGGAAAAGGGTGTTGGAAATACTGTCCCTTTATATTATTCTCTATAACTTATCTCTGTGAGAAGAATCTGACACAGTTATCTTGACAGAGGTACCTGTCCAGTCTGGGTCACTTTTCTCACCATGGTGGGTTATAGACCTCACTACCCTGTCCATCTGTAACAGTTTTGTACTGTTGCACGTTTGATTAAGTTCAGTAAGCTTTTTACTGCTCATCTGTTATGTGCCAGGCACTAGGAAACAGAAAAATAACCCATTCCAGCCCTTCAGGAGCCCATAGTTTAGTAAATGAAATAGACATGTAGTCAGATAAGTTGTAATCCTGAATATCTTGGAACTGTAGACTTGTAGGTAATGTGGTGTGGTAACAGAGGATGAGATAGCTAACATTATTTGCCTGGATTACGGGTCAGGAAAGGTTTAGAGAAGGTGATGCTGAGCTGAGATTTTGAAGGATGAATTAGAATTTTCCACTGGACCAAAGCTGGGCGTGGTGGATTGGGGGTGCTAGATGGCGGGGAGGCGTACCAGCATGTAGAAAAGCATGGGGTTAGACACCTGGTGGTGTATTCAGAAGATTCCAAGCAGTAATTACCGTGGAAGCTGATGCGTCTGTGGGAACTGTCAGGAGGTGGAGCCAGCTCATGGGGACTTTGTACTTGCTTCTGTTCAATTTATCTCTATTCCAGAGGCTCCAAGGGGGTACTGTATTTGCCACCCCTTTGTGTGATCAATTCCTGCACCACATCAGCCTGAATTATGGGTGAAATATAAAGGGATAGCACTAGAATTTATTTTGTCCTGGTTTTTGCCTCCATGGCCTGATTTTGTCAGGATTCCAATCCCAGTGCCATTAATGATTACCACACCGTTGCCCCTTACGTCAGTGGTAGGAGAAGGTGGGGCTGTACTTCCCTCGTCGTGCGCCTGCGTTGTGAAGTGACTTTGGTGAGCTAGGACTTTGTGAACTCTGCAGGACAACCCTTCCTTCTGCTACGTGCAGTATATTGCTTTGCTTGACACTAACAAGTCTTTGTTTTCTTTGTTTCTTTAGTAAAGAGGGTGTGTATGAAATCAGCCTGTCACCCACAGGCATATCTAGGTAAGTGAATCCTCACTAGAAAGGGACTATAATTATCACTGAGTTATAGTCTCTTAAAATATTCTACTCCCTTGATTAAAGTAATTAATGTGGTAATATCTCCTTTTATACTAGCTTCAAAACATATTCAAAGCCTCTCAGGTATAGTAGCTTACTTCTCCAGTTTTTCAGATGAGGAAATGAGGTCCAGGGAGATTGAGTACTTTTTCCTAGGCTACAGAGTAATTTAATATTAGAGTTGGGTCTGGCCTCAACTTCTGTGCTATTTGTGTTACATTATATTATTATTGTTAGATTACATTGTATGTATTGGGTTGGCAAAAAGATTGTTCGGTTAGTGAATACGTTGTTCAATAAAGTTCTTGGTGAAAGTGGAAAATGTGTCCTTTATTTTTTTCTTTTAAACTGAACAAACTTTTTGGCCAATCCAATATTATTACATATTATGTTAATCATACATTATTATATATAATATATATTATGTCATATTGCTATATAAAGGTAGATTTCAATAAAATTAAAGCATATATGATTTAGGGTATATTAGGCATTAGTCATTGTTTCAAAACATTTTGAAAGCATCACCTTAATACATGTCACTATAAAATAATGAGACATTTAAATAAATCAGAACTTATCTATCTAAATGAATTGCTTAGAAAGAGTTGCTTTTGGACTTGGATGCCTCTATAATTCATCCACTGGCACTGCTATTGTTACAGCCTTTTTTGGAACTTCCCTTTTAAAGCAAGTTTAATAGTCACACAAGAAAACCAGTTGCATTATTTTGGTCACATCTCATTGTTAACCTGGTATGGCTTCAGGTGAGCTTTGGCTCTTTCACAAAATCATTTCACAATATGTGTAAGCCAAATCATTAGGCTGTACACTGTAAACTTATACAGTGCTGTATGTCAATTATATCTTAGTAAAACTGGAAAAAAGTAATAATTCAGATCCAAACATTTTAAATTGGACAACAGGTTAAAATTAATTAATAAATTACTTGTTAAACTGTTAAAAAAAATTAAATGTACCTTTAAAGAGTGAAAATTTACTACCAACAAGGCTGCTGAAGATAGTGTTCCATGGGCTTTCAGAACATTTCTTAAGAAGGGTATCCAAAAAAGCCAAATGCATTGTTAAAATGAAATAGTATATTAGGGACATAGAAATCAAAACCACAATGAAATACCACTTTATATTCACTAGAATTTCCATAATCAAAAAGACAATAATAAGTGTTATTATAAATGAGGATGTGGAAAAATTAGAGCCTTCCTGAATTGCTAGTGGGAATGTAAAATAGTACAGCCCTTTTAGAAAAAAGTTTGATGGTTTCTTAAAAAGTTAAGCATACATTTACCATATGACCCAGCAACTTCACTCCTAGGTGTCTTACCCAAGAGAAATGAAAACATACATCCACACAAAGACTTGCATGTGAATGTCCATAGCAGCATATTCATAATAGGCAAAAGTAGAAACAACTCAAATGTCCATCAGTTGGTGAATGGATAAATAAAATGCAGTATGTCTATATAATGAAATATTTTATTCTACCGTAAAAAGAAATGTTCTGATAATGTGCTAGAACATGGATAAACCTTGAAGATATTATTCTTTGTTGAATTTTACAGTATGTAAATTACACCTCAATAAAGCTGTTTAAAGGAGAAAAAAAAAAGATAGCCAAAACAATCTTGAGCTGGTTTGGCACTGTTGAAATAAGTGTATATTCAATGAGAGAAGGAACCCTTATTTGGATTTGTTTATTTTGATAGTTATAAATGATTGCTTTCCCTACAATTAGCATAGTCTTAGAAGACTACCAATTGTTAAAGTAACACAGGGCCAAGCATTTTATTAGTTATTCTACTTTTCACAGTGATGCTATAAGGTGGAGATCATCTTTGTGTTACAGATGAGAAAAACCAAGGTTCAGAGAGGTTAAGTAACTTGTCCAAGGTTTCACAGCTAAGCAGTGCTTGGGTAATATTTGAACCATATCTATGAAAGCTGTCATGTACCTCTTTATCCTTCATTGCCTCTTTTATTTGTCTTAACTTGAAAGAGGTTTAGTTTACATCTGGAGCATCATGAACTGGGTGATATTAAGCTCTGGAGGTGTGGTAAGATGATTTCATCTCCCCACGAAAGGAAGCATCATCCAGATTAATTTATTCTGCTAATGATTAGAGTCTAACTCATCTCTTTCTGTGTTCTTTAGTTAATAACTGTTCTTTCTGCATCAAGGGTGTGTTTGTATCCTGGCTTTGTTGACTTAAAAGAAGCCGATTCAGTATTTGAACAGCTTTGTCAGGATGTTCCCTGGAAACAGAGGACTGGCATCAGAGAGGGTAAGTAGATCTCTGAGATCACAGTTGTTGATGTTTGGTCTTCCTTGCCGGAATGTATTCCAATACCGTTGCTTCTTTGCACCGTTGCTTCTTTGCACCACAGCCAGATTTAAACAGAGATTCAAAACCTGACTGGAACCCTCAGGATGAGTGGGAATTAGCCTGTCAAAGGGGACAGGGAAGAGTGTTCCCGGCACAAGAAACAGCAAGTGGTTCTCAGAACGTGGCAGAAGATGGGCGTTCAGGAAAGCAAAGGAAGTTTGGTTTGACTGAACTGTGGTTGATATGCTTATCTTCTTTTGTGTTTGTTCACTATTTATTACTGCAAATGGTGCCAGCTTTCCTCTTTCTTCATAGAAACTTCCAGAGCTTTCCTTTCCTGATTCTATTTGGCATATATTCTTTTGTGATCCTTTTTATCAGCTCTTTATTCTCATTTTTGTTTCACTAGAAGAGTCCAGTCTCCTTTAGCTTCAGCATCTCTAGTATTCTACTGAGCTTGTTGAGATTACCTGACTTGGAACAGGCTCCTCTGTGGTCATCCACAAGCAACAGTACCTGCTATACCAGAGGCGGTCACTGGGGAGCGCCTGTGCTCTAGCATAGAATTTCCTTTCTGGCATATTGAATGAATTTAAATTTTCTGTGGAGAAAGAGGCAAAGTATACTGGCATCATTTTTGTAACTCAGGTGTCAGAATGAGAGTCAGCTCTTTCAGGGCAGCCTTCTAATTCCCAGCAGTTTCTACAGCAGGGCTTTTGGTGACAGACTTGGCTTTGATTGCTGGCTCTGTCTTTCAAAATAATTGTTAATTTTAAACAAATTACAGTTAAATAATTTTCTGATTTTCTGATCTGTAAAATAGAGTGAATAATAATATTGATACCTATCTTATATGGTTGTTGTGATAATTAAATGAGATAGTGCATGATAAGTACTTAACAGAATGCCTGCTACATAGTAAGCCTTCAGTGAATGTTAGCTGCTTTTATTATTGTTGTTTTTATTGTTGTAGTGGTTGAAATCAATTGTAGGAAAAATAGCAGATCTATGGGTAACTCCCTCTCTAAATAATTGGACATCAAAACCTTCTGACTAAAATTAGCTACATGCTATGATTGGTCAGAGTACTTTTTTCTTCATTTGGAATCAAAAGGGCTTACACAAGGGTGGCACGTGGGTGAACAGTTTGTCTTGTTTCTTGTATGGACGTTGGTGCCACAAGTTCCTACCTACAAGGGTTCAGACTCCATAGCCTGCATTTTAGACCCTCCCTAATCTGAACCCTTCTGTTCTGTGCTGTGTCTCCTTCACTCTTGTTTATGTCATCACTGACACAAATAAGTCACGCAAATTCTCACCTCAGAGCTTCACCCATACTGTTTCTTCCAGTGTACCTTCTCTTGTCCTCCTCCTTTTAGCTGTCACCATTCTACTCCTGAAATCCCACGCCCTCTGTGAAGGTGGAACCTTGGGTCAGGGCCTGTCCTTACTCTTCCTTTGTATTTCTCATAGCTTCTTATACATTGCAAGGCATGGTGTTGGCACTCAATAGGTACACCTTAAATAGCATCAAACCATTTCAAAGGCCCTGTATTTTCTTTCTTAGATGTAACTTACCAGCAACCAAGACTTACAGCATGGTATGGAGAACTTCCTTACACTTACTCAAGAATCACTTTGGAACCAAATCCTCACGTATGTTGGAATGTTGTTGTTGGTTTGGTTTTATAGGTTGTATACTATAAATGTAGAGTACTATAAAATAACAGTAAGATACCTTGCAGAGCTGCATGGTGATTCCTAGTACAAAAAATCCTCTGGGTTCAAACACTGAGTTTTTGGGCTTATCACCCTTGATGTGCTTTTGATCCATAGATAAAGACAGAGGATGAGAAAAAAACTGGAGCTAGAGTGAACTAGAACCAGACTCAGGGATTTCAGAGAAATGAATCATTTATTTTCCTAATCTCGCCTTCCCCAGGCTTTTCCGGCCGTAGCCCTCTGTGTGCCTCCTGATACATATTTGCTGTGGAGTCTAAGCCTTATGACTGACCAGTGAGGTCAGAATGTTTCTTCCCACTTCTCAGGCTCTTTTGCCATTTGTGAAAAAATCCGTGCTTTTCTTGTTGACTTTGCATTCATTCTGTGGTTGCAGTTCTCATACTTCTAACTTACCATTGCTTTGGCTTGTCTCTGCTGCTTCTTTTGTTTTTAAAAATTTCCGTGACAGACAGAGAGATTCTAGTATATAAATTAAGCTTGCCCAGATGATGGAATTAAGATCCAAGAAACAGCTCTCTGTTTAGTCCCTGGAATCTTGCCTTTGGCAAATAATATTATGTTTTTATTGAAAGAGACTTTGAAGACAGTGGAGTTTTGCTTATGGCATTGGAATAAAGAGAAATATGACACATTTAGAGCGTCTAGTAATTTGTTATCGTAAACTACCATTTTACTAAAATGTTCAGGGATAAAATACTGATTGAAGGGAACATGGCTTTTTCACATAAAGAGATAGCTAGCTGTATGCTCTGGTTTCTACAGCTGCATTTAGAATGTGATCCAGGGAAGCGTTGAGACCCTCTATATCTGAAGTTGACTTGGAAACGTGAAGAGAATTGAATTAGGCCAATCCAGCGTAGACGGCTGGCTGTGTTTCTGTCAGAATTAGTTCGTCTTCTTGTCAACAGCCATAGCAGAGAAGCTGAGGCTTAAGCAGCCTGTGGGGAAGAAGTTCTTATTCATTCTAGTTAATCTTTTAGAACAGGATTTCCCAACCTCGGTATTACTGACATTTCAAGCTGGATAATTCTTTGTTCTTAGGGTTATCCTGTGCATTGTGGGATGTCTAGCAATATCCATGACTTCTGCCCACGAGCTGCCACAAGCACCCCTCACTCAGTCGTGACAACCAAAAATGTCTCTAGACATTGCCAGACATCTGCCAGGGGTCAAAATTGACCTTGGTTGAGAACTCCTGCTTTAGAATAAACATAAGGCACAAAGATCTGCTGAGTTGAGTGACCACTTATGCTTGGAGACATTTTGACAACTCTTCAAAAGAATTTTTTAAATGACAATCCTTTTCTTATAATGTAAGTAATATGTGTCTGTTTTTGAAAATCTAGAAGCTACAGATAAATATGAAGAATATTAAAATTTGCGATAATAGTTCCACCTGATATTTTGGTTCCAGTCTTTTTTTTCTTTTTTTTTTAGGCAAATATATGTAGAGAATTTTTCTATAAAAATAAAATCAATTATTTATATACTACAATTCATTTTACTATATCATTAACATATTTTAATATCATTAAATATTCTTTTACAACATTGTATTAATAGGTACATAGTATTCCATAATCTGTGTGTAGCATAATTTGTTCAAGCAAGCCTCTTTTGTTGGATATTAAGGTTGTCAAATTAGAGTTTTTTAATTTGAATTTGGCGGGCTCGTAACTTTGCATTTATTGCTAATTTAGTTTGTATACCATCTGGAACAAAGTCAAAAGTGATGCCTCAGATTTTTTTTAAGGGGGGATTCCCTAACGTGTATATATGTATTGGGGGTACCAGTTTAAAGTTGTTTTTGCCTCAAGTTTAGTATCCCATAGCACAGGAAGAGATTCAACCATAGGTAATTAAACTCCTTTTAGTCTTTTTTCAAACTAAATCTTGTATGAACCCAATGTATGAAAATAAAAGAGGATCTCGACTGACTGGCAGTCCTACCAGCTTGACCTCTCCTTTCTCCTGCTGTGATCCCGGAGACATCTCTGTGGTACCTACGTCTCTACAAAACACTGTTTGAAATCAACTGAATAGGTCCTTTTACATTTGTGATTCATATTTTCTCATACTCATTTCCTCAAATGTCTTTTAAGGATAGAATGTATTCACTGAACAGTGAGATGACTCTGAATTTTAATATAGACGTTCACTTCTGAGGGATCTGTATATAGAGTATTGGTTGGAGAGTCTAAGTTAATCCTCTAGTTCATTATTTCCTTTTTTTCTCCTTTTCTCCTTCACCACCAAAAATAACCAAGGAAAAATATATATCCACTTAGAAACATAATGCAGACTTGGTGTTATCACAGTGCTCAGCCCCTAAGCAAGTCAAGGAAGTGCTAATTAGTTTCTCAGTCACATTGCCAAAGAGCTCATCATCCTCCTTTACATTCTTGTGTTTCTTGTTAAGTGTATAATTCTAGCATCTGATCTTTATTGCCATGAAGATAAGCTTAAGTCATTAAATAAATAGGAAATACAGCTTGCTAACATTATTATGGAATTTTACTTTGAAACTTATTCTCTTGAACTAACCTATGTTAGTTTAATAGCATTTGTTTTCTTGATCTAAGTTTTGTCTGTTATTATTGCTGTTTATTTTTTTTAATCCTCTTCTCAGAGGAGCTGAATAGACATTTTTCCAAAGAAGACATACAGATGGACAACATGAAAAGATGCTCAGCATCACTAATTATTAGGGAAATGCAAATCAAAACCACAGATATCACCTCATGCCTGCTAGAATGGCTGTTATCAAAAAGGCAAGAAATAAAAAGTGCTGGTAAGGCTATGGAGAAAAGGGAACCCTCTTACACTGTTGGTGGGAATCTAAATTGGTGCAGCCACTATGGAAAACAGTATGAAGATTCCTCAAAAAATTAACAGTAGAGCTGCCATACGATCCAGCTATTCTACTTCTGGTTATGTATACAAAGAATATGAAAACGCTAATTTGAAAAGATACGTACACCCCTGTGTTCATCACAGCATTATTCACAATAGCCAAGATACGGAAACAACCTAAGTGCCCATCAACAGATGAATGAATAAAGAAGATATGGTATATATATACAATGGAATACTACTCAGCCATTTAAAAAACAGTGAACTCTTACCATTTGTGAGACCCTGGATGGACCTTGTGGGTATTATGTTAAATAAGTCAGGTGGAGAAGGACAAATACCGTATGATTTCATTCATATGTGGAATATAAAAAACTAATAAAATAAATGAACAAACCAAACACGTAGATACAAAGAACAGAGTGGTGGTTACCAGAGGGGAAGGGGCAGAATGGAGGGCAAAATGGATGAAGGAGATCAACTGTATGGAGATGGATGGAAACTAAATTTTTGGTGTTGAGGACGCAGTATGGTATATAGAAACAGAAATATTGGAAGAACCCAGACGAACTTTTTGGCCAACTCATATAACGTTGTACACATTAAACTTATATAGTGTTATAAACCAGTGTTACTTCAATAAAATAAATAAACAAAATCCTCTGCTTAGAATGTAATGCTAATATCCATAACAAGGAATGCCAGCTTTTTTTTTTTTACATCTTTATTGGAGTATAATTGCTTTACAATGGTGTGTTAGTTTCTGCTTTATAACAAAGTGAATCAGTTATACATATACATGTGTTCCCATATCTCTTCCGTCTTGCGTCTCCCTCCTTCCCACCCGGAATGCCAGCTTTTACCATGATTTCCATGTGACAGGGAAACTGAGTGATTTCCACATATGCTCCCTGGAAGTTTTACCTGACAATAGTCACAGGATATACCTTATAATGACATTATGCTTTCCTTTGCTGAACATCCATTTCTTTGCTTTCAAACATAGAACGTGGACTTTGAAGGGGTTCCTTATTTTTGTTTTATTTATTTATTTTTAAAATTTATTTATTTATATTTTTGGCTGCGTTGGGTCTTCGTTGCTGCGTCAGGCTTTCTCTGGTTGCGGCGAGCGGGGGCTGCTCTTCGTTGCGGTGCACGGGCTTCTCATTGCAGTGGCTTCTCTTGTTGCGAGGCACGGGCCCTAGGCACGTGGGCTTCAGTAGTTGTGGCACACGGGCTCTAGAGTGCAGGCTCAGTAGTTGTGGCTCACGGGCTCTAGAGTGCACTCTCGGTAGTTGTGGCACACGGGCTTAGTTGCTCCACGGCATGTGGGATCCTCCCGGACCAAGGATTGAACCCATGTCCCCTGCATTGGCAGGCGGATTCTTAACCACAGTGCCACTAGGGAAGTCCTTGAAGGGCTTCTTTAAAGTGGCAGTTCTTTTTGTTTGTTTGTTTGTTTTTGCTGTATGCGGGCCTCTCACTGCTGTGGCCTCTTCCCTTGCGGAGCACAGGCTCCAGACATGTAGGCCCAGCGGCCATGGCTCACGGGCCTAGCCGCTCCGCGGCATGTGGGATCCTCCTGGACCGGGGCACAAACCCGTGTCCCCTGCATCGGCAGGCGGACTCTCAACCACTGCGCCACCAGGGAAGCCCCTAAAGTGGCAGTTCTTAAAGTAGAGTCTGTAGATCCCTGGAGGAAGTCCACGAAATTCTTTCTGGGAATCCACAAGGTCAAAGATATTTTTATGGTAATGCTAAGACTAGGTGACATTTTTCACTGTGTTGAATTTGCACTAGTGATGCAAAAGTAATGGTGAATAAAATTGCCGGTGCCTTAGCATGAATCAAGACACTGCCACCAAACTGTTCTAGTAATCATTGTTTTCTTTACTACATGCCCTTCCAGTAAAAACAAAAACAAGAAAAAATGCTGATTTCCTTTAAGGATGTCCCTTGATGAAGCAGTAAGCACTATTAGTTTTATTAAGTCTTGATCTTTTTTAATTGTTTGATGAAATGGAAAGTATGCATAAGGCACTCCTGCTACAAACCAAGTATGATGGTTGCTGAGGAAAAACACTTGTGTGATTGTTTAAGCTGTAAGCTGAATGAGCTACTTTTGTCATGGACCATTTTACTTGGAAGAGCAGCCGGCACACAAACTAGTTATTCAGACTTGAGTATTCAGCAGACATTTTCTCAAAAATGAATGAAGTGTCACTTCCAGGAAAATAATGGACAAGATTTGTCACTAATGATAAAACTTGAAGTTTCAAGGAAATATTAGGAATTCTGGAAAAACTCATATCTACCACCTTGAGCCTGACCTCTTCCCTTTACTTAGCTTTTTCTGAAGAGATCAGTGTTTTTTTGATTTTTTGATATTGGAGATGATTTTTTGATATTGTATAACAAAATATGTCAGTATCAAAAGGGTCTGCATAACTCAGTGAGCCAATATTTTCCAAATGACCAATGCTTGATGTTACAGAATCATGCAAGATTAAAACATCTATTCAAAGTGCACTCTAGACCAGTGGATTTAGATGTAATATGAAAAGTTTGTTGATATAGATTCAGATTCCCCATTGCATCTAACCTTTAAGAAATCAGTTCAGTTGAGTTTTGGTGTAATGTCAAAGAATATTTACAATTATTTGAAAAGGCTATAAAAGATTCTTCCTTTTTCTAACTACATACCTGTGTGAAGGCAGTTTTCTTCATATGCTTCAACAGAAACAACATATTGTAACAGATTAAATGCAGAAGCAGATATTAGAATCAACTCTTCTATTAAGTTAGACATTAAAGAGATTTGGGGCTTCCCTGGTGGCGCAGTGGTTGAGAGTCCGCCTGTCGATGCAGGGGACACGGGTTCATGCCCTGGTCCGGGAAGATCCCACATGCTGCGGAGCGGCTGGGCCCGTGAGCCATGGCCACTGAGCCTGCGCGTCCGGAGCCTGTGCTCCGCAGCAGGAGAGGCCGCAACAGTGAGAGGCCCGCGTACTGCAAAAATAACTAACTAACTAACTAACTAACTAACTAACTAACTAAATAAATAAATAAATAAAAAGGAGATTTGCATAACAGTGCCACTCTTCTCACCAATTTTTTGTATTGGAAAATAGTTAATTTTCATAAAATAATACTTACGTTAACATGTAATGAGTTTGTTATTTTTTAAATGAATTAACCAAAAATTAAAAATTTTTTTAGTCTTAATTTTTAATATGGTAACTATTGTAGCTATAAGCCATACATACAGAAGTTCTTTGGGGCCCTCAATAATTTTTTTTTTTTGCTGTGCCTCATGGCTTGTGGGATCTTAGTTTCCCAGCCAGGGATTGAACATGGGCCCTCAGCAGTGAAAGCATGGAGTCCGAACCACTGGACCTCCAGGGAATTCCCACCTCAATAATCTTTGCCAGTGGTGTGAGAACGAACTCCTGTTCTCCAGGAAGCTCTGTAAAGCATTTGAGGTTTCCTAGAGGCAGGACATAGAGTTCTAACAAGAACCACAACCAGAGCTGTACTGATTGTAGCCCCCAAGTACAACCTACAGCTTAGGGGTCATAGCTTCCTAAAGTATGTGTGGCAAGATGCTGAGCTCCGCATATAAACAGAGGTGAACTCGGTGCTCAGGAGGCAGAGCTGTGGACTCTGTTTAAATCTTCTGTAGTGCACAGCCATGTTATGATTCCATTCTGTAGAATGTTTTTCCCCTCTAGGTTCTGTTTTTAGGAAGTTTGCCACTCTGGAAATATTAAATACCTTTTTCAAAGAGCAGTTCTGCCATTCTTTATAAAATAGGAATGGAACAGAGGGCCACCCAGCAGGAGAGTTGTTTCACTCCTCAGACTGCAGTCTGCATCTGCTAACTCTTGGTGGCCCGTCAGCTGTGGTGACAAACCAGGCTTACTGCTCCACACGCTACCTCAGTGACTTACTGAGGTGACTGCCCTGAGTGTATTGACAGTTGCTTCTCTGCGAGCGTCATATATTTAACATGGAAAGGATGAGATGGGTGGATAGGCCTGGTCTTCGTGACATTCTATACCAAATTTAGTACCTTAATAAAAGTGTAGAGGTCAGCTTGCTTCAAAATAGAAATAACAGGAGAGAATTAAACTACTCTTCTAGCCTTATGTTTATTACGTTTCTGGTGGTTTGCTTATTTCATGCCCCTGTTTATAACATGACTGATTTTGCCCTTCCTGTCTCTCCACGTGGCTGCCACCTTGTGTCTTACGTGAACTGTCTCTGCCCCTTTTCTTGGCCTGTTGATCGCAGTGGCATCCTGTGCTGCTCATGCTGAAGAACCAAATTGAAGAGAACACTGGCCACACCTTCAACTCCTTGCTCTGCAATCTTTACCGAAATGAGAAGGACAGCGTGGACTGGCATAGTGATGACGAACCTTCGTTGGGGAGGTGCCCCATCATTGCTTCACTCAGTTTTGGTGCCACACGCATGTTTGAAATGAGAAAGAAGCCCCCACCAGTGAGTAGTCTATTTATTTTATGTTCCTCCTGCCATCTAATATTCTGTGAAAAAAACTGAGCTCTAAAAGGCTCCTATTTTCGGATTTAGGGGATTGGAGTATGTGTTTTGTTGATGAAACATTTTCAACTGATTGCTTACCCCATGGTTAACTTTTGACTTACAAAGAAGCCATTCGTTCATTTACTTATGCAACAGAAAATGCCTGCCGCGTGCCAGGTGCTAGAGGCTTATTTGCATTGGTGGAAAGGACAGACATGGTCCCTGTCCACATGGAAATGGGGGTATACAGATACTACTAATTACTCAAGTAATTGGAATTATGATAAATGCTAGGAAGGAGGGCTTATAAAGGCAAAGTTCAAGTTAGTGGGGGCAAGGAGGCAAAGGAAAGGAGTCTCAAGGAAGATACGCCTGAAATTTTAAGTAAGTGTTCTTTATGGCATTGTTGCCTCTCTTTTGTGAGAGAGCATCACATGCATCCTCATTGCCTTCTTAGCCTGTTCCTGAAATCCAGATGGCTCTGTAACTCTTTCAGAGAGGAAATTCAAGCCAGATTATCAGGCAAACAGTGGCTAAACTGTAGAATAACTTTAGTTGTCCAGCCCAGCTCTTACCTATATTACAAGACATTTGAGGGATACGAGGGCTGTTAGTGTTTTTAAATCAAAAAGTATAGAACTTTAGGACTAAGGTAGATAGAAGGATAGTAGAAACTCTAAGAAAAGAGCAAATCTCTACCAAATTATCTTATTTCCAGGATTTGTGGTTTTTTTCTAACCAAAGTTCCCAGTCATTTTGTTTATAACATTAAACCAGACCCAGTCAGTGTGGAAGGCCTACAGGGCTGTGTTTTGAGTGTGACCTAATCCAGACCACATAATTATCAGGCAGTCAGTGCTTGTGTCTGTTCTGCATCAGATATACTTCTTTGGGCTGTTTTTATGACACATATTTGGGTTTCCAAGCATGGAATTTTGAAGCATATTGTGTTGTTCTGCATTTATGCCATTAAGTACCTTCCATTGGTGTATTTTCTGTTGACTGGGTTTTCTTTGCTTTTGTTTTGCACAGAAACTTTAGTCTGTGTTAGTGAGGGATTGTCAGTTGCCAGTGACTTACTGAGTGAACTTGCTCCCTGAGCACTTTGAATAGCCTTCACGGTTTCACTGGCAGTCAGCCTTCTCATGTACCAGGGAGTACCACCTGAGAAGCAAGGTATGGTTATGCTTTCATATGTAGGCTTCCACTCAGTTAAATCCCAAGTTCACACATGTGAAGAATTCATCCCGCCCTTAATAAGTCTCCTATTATGTGAATAGTGGAGAAACACCACGTGTCTCATTTTAAAGTTCAGACCCTCTTCTCAAGCCAGGCATATAGAACACAAACTTTTTGCCAGGCATGGTCCTGGGAGCTGGGGCTATAGCAATGGATAAATAAGGTGAAGTCATCTTTCCCCTCCTGGAGCTCCTGATCTGGCCCGTGCTAGTGCTCTGCCCCCACTCCCAGAGTTATCCGTCCAGCTTTCTGATTGGAAAACAAGCTGTAGTGTGTCCAGTATAATCTTTGGTGTAATCCGAGTCTCCGAGTCTTTGCTGTTATTTTCTTTGTTGCCAAGAATTTAAGTATTCAGTTACTGCTTCTCTCTACACGTACATTCACCGCCACCACCATCATCCCTTTTTAAAAACATTTTTGGCCTGTTTATAGATTTTAAGCTTAAAAATTCCCAAAGCATGCTTTCTGGATAATTAATTTTGCTGTACCAGTAGTTTCCAACTATTAAGCGTTAACAATGTTCCAGTGCCCAGAATACCGCTATTCCTTTTCCCCTCTAGGCAGCTGAAGGTCTTCATTTTCTCATATAAAAACGTATTCATGGTGATCAAGAGCTATTTCTTGGTAATATAATTCAGTTATGTTATAGGTTCATGTGTGGATGGAAAATGTAACTACCACTTAGCATTGTTTCTGAGGGCAACCATTTGGAACAAAACCTCTGTGACCATACTTACTTACTGAAACATTGTCTTCTCAAGGCTTCTTAGAGTCTATTTTGGTGAACATGAGTGAAAGCACAGGCCATGAAACACTGAAAATGTGGTTAAGTCCCTTTAATTGTCCACTAGTAGCAGGGGAATCTGCACTATAACTATGGTAGCTGATTTGATGAAAATACAGATCTGATAAGTAAGAAAATTTGTCTGAAACAAAGTTGACTGAGGAAACAGATTTGGGAAGAAATATAAATGTGTCAGTATGTCAGGTTACTGACTCTAGTAAGTTTTGGCTTCCAGCATAGTCTTAACTATGATTGAATTTGATGCAGTTGTGTATTCCTTCAAATCTGGCTTTTGTTTAAGATGGGGAAATTATAATCATGCATTAGTGAATACAGTTTAAAAATTACTTTTTTCCTCCAGAACCCATAAAGTCCATTCTTGGATAATCAAAACCCAGGTTTAAACTTTTGGAAGGATTTCTTCAAGTTTCTTTAACAGACTTTAAAAATCTTGGGCTCCACAAATCTAGCTAAACTTAAAGTGCAGAAGCCTTTCTTTGAGTTGACATCCTTGGAAATGTATCTTAGAGTACATCATCTTTATCACAGGATAATGATCCCTTTTCTGAAGGATTGAAAGGAAAAGTTTATTGCAAATCAGTCTACTTTTCTTTCTCAACTGTGGTGATAGCTTTGAGAACATGGCTCATGATTCATATTGTACAACTCAAAGTAAAAGCATAAAATAGAAAGTATAAATTAGTCTTCTGTGTGGAATTTGTAGGAGTCTTGACTTTCTGTAGCTCCTAGGAGCCTGTCTCGCTATGCCACTATGGATTGTAATTTTCATGTCTGTCATCAAGACGTTTGGGGTGTGCTAGAGGTTGTGGGAGGGCATCTCTTTCAAAATCCAGTTCGTTTTAAACTATCAGAGGAGAAGAAGGTAATACCTGCTTGACTTGAGTCAAAGTTTCTCACCTAAAGCTGACATAGAGGAATCGTGAGATTGCCTGTACCTCATTCAAGTATGCAGTTTTGAGACAGAAAAGCATCTGTTTGGGGCCACTTTCAAAGAGAATTAGCCTTTTTTTTTTAGACATTCAAACTCCTCCACCCCTGCAGCAGCTGTTTGTTTTGCAGTCTGGCACCTTAAGTAGTAGTTCTCTGTAGCTGCTGATCTTCTGAAAGCTGCCCCAGTTCCACACACTGCATTCCTAACAGTTTCTTGCTGTGCTGAGATGGTAAGGAGATCTTTGTTTCCTAAGCATCAGTGCCCCTCTGGTTCATGCAAATGGCTCAGGCAGCTTCATGCATGCGTCACCCCTAGGATTAAACATTCACTCCAAGATGCTGATCCTCGTTTCACTGTCCTCTGGTCCAAGTTTGTCAACTCCTGCTCATTCATTTTGATTTTAGAGTCAATTACCACTTCCTTTAATGATAATAAGGTACTTGGGGGCATAGTAGACCTGCTCTTCCATTCACCCCATCCCTTCTTTTGTTAATTCAGTTCAACCTGAATGAATAGCATCATATCCATCTTCAGGCCAATGTCAGGATACACTGTCTTAAGACAAAAGTAAAGCTTTCCAAATATACCTCAGTAGACATTTTTTAGAAACCAAGAACCTTTTTTTTTTGTAATTTTATTTTATTTATTTTTTGGCTGCTTTGGGTCTTCGTTGCTGCGCAGAGGCTTTCTCTAGTTGCAGCGAGCGGGGGCTACTCTTCGTTGCGGTACGCGGGCTTCTCACTGTGGTGGCTTCTCTTGTTGCGGAGCACGGGCTGTAGGCGTGCGGGCCTCAGTAGTTGTGGCTCACGGGCTCTAGAGCTCAGGCTCAGTAGTTGTGGCGCACGGGCTTAGTTGCTCCGTGGCATGTGGGTTCTTCCTGGACCAGGGCTCGAACCCATGTCCCCTGCATTGGCAGGTGAGTTCTTAACCACCGTGCCACCAGGGAAGCCCCAAGAACCTTTTTTTATTCTCCCAAGCTGGGCTGGTTAAAGCTTTTCTACGCTCGTGTCCCAAACCCAGTTGTACTTTTCAAACCGCATCGTGTCCCTGTTGTAAAGATTAGTCTGGTCCTTTTCCCAGTATAGTTTTAATTCTATACTGAAAAACAAGCTGGAAAAGAAACTACAAAAGCCATTTGGCAGGCTGCTAGTTCTCTGTCGGTTACCATAGAAACAGTGATGGCTGAGTTGGGGGGTGTGGGTATTAGATAATAGGAAGTTTGTGATGCACTGAAGGTTTGGATGCCAAAAGCCTTGTTTTCTAGAAAATTAGCCGTGCGTAAGCTCTGTCCTTCAGCTGAATCCTGAAAACGTGAGGGGCTTCTATCCATCTCGAGGTGATTGAGTTGAGGCCAGTTGGACGTTTCTCTAACCATTACTCTCTCTATCACCTTCTGAAGGATGTGAACTCTGTTCATATCATCAAAAGAGATGGTTGTAAAACTACTTGTAATGGTAGGGGTTCTGAGAGTTCCCAGTGCATTTGGGTTCCTAGTACCTCCCTTGCTAATTGGTTTTTTACACACTACTGGGAAGAGTGGAGTATGAAAAGGTCAGTTTGATCATAAATACCAATATTTTTCCAGGACTGTGGAAGAAGTGAGGATATTGGAATCCAAAATAATATAAACTGACTAGCTTACATTTGAAAATTGGATGAACTGGACTGTGTAGTATTTCATGGAGTGGTGACTGGACTGCTGCCTCAGCCAGAACCCCCACTGTGGCTCTTCCGGGCATCCACACTTCTCATTAGTCCATCTTCTGATTACAGCATCTGTTCTGAGAAATTACAAGACCTACTTGAAAGAAATTGTTGATAACCATCATCTTTTTAATACATTCCTTAATGAAATTTAGAAAATCAGGTTTTGTTTCCTATTTCTGTTACTGATGTTTGTAAAAAGCACTTATCCGCCTCATTTATACTTACTCCTTTTTTGTAAATGGGGATGATAATTGGTAGCTACTTTATGGGAGTAAT